GGCGGGGTTGGGCCACAGGGACAGTACGCTCTAACTGTTGGGGTAGTGGTGTATATGGACTATGGAGATAGAATACGAAGGGTTGGGTTACGATATTGGTCATATGAGCTAGTTAGAAAGCACTAATGCATAGTAGTGGTGTTAAAAAGTTATTTTTAGGCTTTTTTAGGCTTTGAGGGTAATAGTAAGAATATGTTATGGCGCAGTAGGTTGAATTTCTTCACCTTATTGGGTATTGTAGAATAACGAAATGCAAAATGATAGCAATTCCACATAGGAAAGAAAAAGAGAGGCTGGTTGCTGGCCTGTTTGTTGTCACCCTTTATGCGGGGCAACTGGCCTAGCACTGAGAGAAGCAAAACACAAACAAGCAATAGTGGCGGTCCAGCGTACGTGGGTACGTACGTCACTAAGCAGATGGATTTCTCTTTAGTGTCGAATACAATGTCTTAACTCCAACATGTTGCGCTGAGGTCGATTTTCTCGTGTTTTGTTCGGAAAATTGCGAGACAGGTGCAGCTGCATATGGCGCGGGTTTGCGAGATGGTTTGGCTGGCACCTGTTATTGATCGCTGTGGCGCGGCCGAGGTCCCGTAAGTGGGATACGTAGTGCCCTCCCGCTTGCGTCGTCGATCGACCGGCCCTTTCCCGTTGCGGTCCCATACGGTGCGATCTTTCTACTCATTTTGCGTGGCTGATGACAATGGTGATGAATGGTGGTTCTGAGCTTTGCGAAAGCAGTACCCAGACTGGCTTTCAAGTGAGTGAAAATTATCGGTCTGAATGGGGCGTTGGGATGCCGAGGCGTTGTTCGGGTGGGGCATGCGGTGTGGGTTATCGTTGATATCGTAGGAAGTCAAAAGAGCGTGGACTCAATGGCTTTACGACCTGAGTAGATAGTATTATGCCGTGATCTGAGATGATAGTACGTTCGTTCAAGACCGTGGTAGATGAGATCCCACAGTCTCCGATCAGTTGACATAGACCATCACCGCAAAGGAGATCAGACAGAAGCAGAGCGGAATGTAGACTTTCCGGTCCATGTCTGGATCTAGCGGGGAAGAGGAGGATGCAGCGCCGGCGATAGAACGAGTCCGATTAGCGCGATGGATGGATTTGCTAGGTTTCTGAACCATATTTTGATGGAGGAAAGACACAGGCTTGAGCCTTGCAGGACCGGGGGGGTTAGTTGTCCTTGAACAAGAAGGTGGGAGGGGAAGAGGATAAGGGGTTTGTGCAAAGAAGAGGGGGGAAACAAGGGTCGGGTGATCAACGTGGCGCTGGATTGGGATTCGCCCAACAAGATGCGCATCCTGAGGCACGCCTTCCCCAACCTTTCGTAGCAGGCAGATGCTAAGGCACCTGCAGGCATCAAGGCGGGAGACAATGAGGCACGTGATTTCATGATTACATGTGGTGAGATAAGCCTGTATGGTATGGTAACTGCAGAAGTTCAGCCCCCAGTCTTAGATTGGGTAGATTACGGCAGGTGACCGAAGGGTTCACGGAACTCGGAAAGGCTGGACAATCCAAGTATCCAACAAGCTGCATCCACTGCATCCTTTAGCTTCATCCATGAAGGATGAGGGGTTCATGACGGCTCCTGTCGTCCTCCCTCCTTCAGGGGACGGGTTAATCAAATGAACTAAACGACCTCCCCTGTCTGTCTCAGATTGAGGCTGATGCGCCTGACAGACACCCTTTGATTTTGATTACCCTGTCCACCTGTACTTCTGACTCCTGCACGTTATTGGCCCATTCCCTAGTCTAACCTCCAGGAAATTGAGCCAGAAGCGCTCGGTAGTTCGGACGCTCTACCCGAATGCGTCTGCTTATCGCTGATGGGCTGAGGGAGTGGGTAAGTAAGTTCCTAACTCTCTTGATTCCTTCTCAGGGCCAGAAATATGGTCCTTCTCGAGTCGCCTTCAAGCTCTTTGTTATAATATTATCCGGCTGAGACACTCTTCTCTTCCTCACCTCCAAAACATTTGGCCAACCGAGCTGGCGCTTAGACGAAGTTTCTATTTCTTCATTTGCCAGACTTATAACATCTTTCTCCGGAGTGTTGTCCAACGCCGGTAGAAAGTTTTGGAACGGTCCCTCCGAGGGCAAAAGTTGTGCTTATTGCACCCTGAATTAGTTAGGGTCCTCATTTTTAATTTTCTAGTTTTTATTTTCGGACTACTTACGGCCAATGGATGTTAGTGGTATTATGACCATTAGATTGGACAACAGTGTTTACATTTTCAGTCTGTTCTAATGGTTAAACCACAGGTCCAATGTACCTGATCCATGGCTCGCATCGATTGGCCTCAGTTGCATCGCAGCGTCAATGCTGCGACATTTCTCTGACAGGATCAGCAAGCGGAATACCCTACTGTTGGATCACAAGTGCGCGGAAATATTATGTGCACAATATGCGACCGTGGCAAAATCGTGGTTAAATACTTGGCCCCCTTGGCTCTCGGAGTTGTTGCATCGTTGCCTAAAAAGGACCGACACCGACTTGCTCCACGGTGACCCGATCGTTACCACCTTGTAGTAATTATCCATTCCTTCGTCGGACCCTAAGCGAATGACATCTTGGACTCCTTCCAACCCTTGGCTAAACCGTTGATGACCCTCGGTTTCAAGGAGAAAAAGACAGGTGAGAACAAGGGGGATGAGAAAAAAAATCGTCTGGAAAGGGAGGATGAAAGCGGCGCAGGGGACCGAGGGAGAAAAACAAGAAACAGCAAATCAGAGCGTGTGTAAGACACGCGGCAGGCACAAGCTTTTGTTCCTCTCTCGCTCCGCCTTCGTATAGTCTACAGTGTGTACGCACTACGCAGGACCACACAGTGCATACGCCCTCGTTGCTTTCCCCGGCCGGTCAGCGCAACGAACGATCCTCCCGACCGAGTCGAAAAGTGGATAACGCCAGCCTCTGCGGATGGGCATGCGCCTATCACAGCCGCCAACACTGGCTTTCTCACTGGGGCCGTCTCCAGTCGAGACTCCACTAGATCGATGTCGTCCTTTGCTCCTCCTTCAGTCACCGTGTCTGACCACCTCAGCCGTGACGCAGACCTTGTCCGGTGCCTGCCCAGAATCCTCGCACGGCCAAACCAGGGGATGCAACCTTTTTGCCCCCAGTTATCATCCTTGGGTCTTGTTGGCTCGACGTGACTACTCCGTAGCGGATGAAGTCTCCCTCAGGGGAAGTATTAATATCATACAATTTGTCTCCATAGCGGCACCCACTTGGCTAGCATCATTCACTGTGACCTTATTAGTACCAGTATCCTGCCCACTTCCCGGTCCATAGTAACAGAAGTCTAATATTCCCCTCTTCTTCCCTTTTTGGTTGCCCGGGTTCCTGGGTCTGTCGTTCGCTTTCTCTGCTAGACTCACCTACTAGTTACTTCACTACTATTTAATACATTGAGCATCCCCCGACTCTATCCGCCTCTTCGATTTCGTACCCCGGACACACAAGCAGGAGTTTGTTCCTTCGTTTGGTCTCTTGCTCTAACCCTCGTTGTTAGCATAGAAGAACCTTCTAGTCTGTCGCTTCTGGCATTTACCACCCCCACAGCTACAACATCATGTACTTCTCCAAAACTGCCGCCGCGCTGGCTGCGCTGCTGCCCTTGGCCACCGCGCAGACCTATACGGACTGTGACCCTCTCAACAGTACGTTGCTCTTGTTCACACCCATATCTGTTCAGAGCTAACCGAGCAATCAGAGACCTGCCCTGCTGATACGGCCCTGAGCTCCACCACCTTCACCACTGACTTCACCTCTGGCTCGTTCAGTGGATGGATTGCTACCGCCAACAATGTCACCTTTACCGATGAGGGTGCCAACTTCATCATCAGCAAGGAGGGTGAAGCCCCTACCATTGAGACCGACTTCTACTTCTTCTTCGGCAAGGCTGAGGTTGTCATGAAGGCTGCCAATGGTACCGGTATCTGCAGCAGTATCGTCCTTGAGTCGGACGATCTCGACGAGATCGACTGGGTAAGCTCTCAAAATCCCTCTCAGTCTCATGGTTCATCATTTGACTGCCCCTGTTGCCCCTGCCAACCCTATCATGCACACTCAGCTGCACCCTTATCACCCAATATGCATGGGGTAGTAGGCTAACCAAATTGGGATATTCAGGAAGCTCTTGGTGGTGACACCACTCAGATTGAGACCAACTACTTCGGCAAGGGTGACACCTCCTCCTACGACCGTGCTACTTGGGCAACTGTGTCGACCCCCCAGGATACCTTCCACACTTACACCGTTGAGTGGACTAAATCCGCCACTACCTGGAGCATCGACGGCACTGTCGTGCGCACCCTTGACTACAGCGATGCTGAGAGTGGTACTCGTTACCCCCAGACTCCCATGCGCCTGAAGCTTGGTATCTGGGCTGCTGGTGACTCCTCCGAGCCCGAGGGTACCATCGAGTGGGCCGGTGGTGAGACTGACTACGCCGACGGTCCCTTCACTATGACTGTCCAGTCGGTCTCCATCACCAACTACAACCCCGGCTCCTCCTACACCTACTCCGACAAGTCTGGCGACTACACCAGCATTGTCGTCAACAACGGTACCTCCAGCTCTACCACCGGCTCTACCACCAGCTCTAGCTCCGCCTCCACCTCCACCTCCAGCACCAGCTCTAACTCTGGCTCCGGCTCTGGCTCCAGCACCAGCTCCGAGTCCAGCACCAGCGCCTCCAGCGCCGCCGCCGCCGGCTCCTCCACTGCCCTGATTGGCTCTGGCTCCAGCAGCGGTTCCTCCGCCTCTGCCTCGGGCTCCGCCTCTGCTTCCTCCAGCGCCAGCGCCAGTGCCTCCCCCGTTTACACCGGTGCTGCCACCCAGGTCGGCGCCTCCACCAGCCTTCTCTTCGCTGGTCTCCTCGCCGCCCTCTTGTAAATTGTCCCCCCATTCATTATCGACGCCCAATCCCTGATGCAACAACCTTTTTCACTTTTCTTCTTGGGTCGTTTGGAAACTTACACCCACCCACTCACCCCTTTCCCCTGCTTTCACTGCATAGCTTATTTGGAACCGTTGGAAGTACATATTATCTGAAAGAAGGAGGAGTTGTCCATGTGGGTTTATCTTCCCACCTACCCACACTGGCTATCAGACGGAAAGTTTAATTGCTGTCTTGCTCTTATTTTACAATGTTGTCGGTTGTTATCTTGGAATGAATCATCTTGCTCGCTTTCTTTTTTCTACCTGCCGATATTTTGCGAAATGGGTCTTTTTTACTACTTTGGTTCTATTTTTGTCTTTTCCCGGACGGACGCTCCTTTGCTGGACAAAATCAGAGGCTTAATTTTAGCAGCTCAGAAACTTAATCATATCAATTTAAATCCAATGTAACCCCAATTCCATGTAACGAATATAATGACTACGTACGCGCCGTGCTACGCTGTGGTTTCTTGGCCCTCCGGGGTAAACAGTACCTAGACTAGATAACTGTTCCTGACAGGTAGGTGTAAGCCATGTGTAACGTGAGACCCACGTGTGACTGTAACAAAGACAGGTGATCAAAAAAGGAAAAGAAAAACAAAGGATAATAGCGCCGCGCACTGCATCCAAGAATTAAACTAAACGCCAACTTGCATGTTTACCCCAACTTCCTCTGTCTTGGCCAGTCCGAATCATAATAAAAAGGAATATATCCTTCATATGCATGTCTCATATTCACTTTATTTAGCTTTTCAATAGTTTGCGCTCAGATAGCCGAAGTTCTTCTTTGTTGCAGTATCTGAAGCTGATTCGATAGGTTTCGGACGACCTTGATGACCGGGCGATGATTGGTGGACGCTTCTCGGAATATGTCAGCTAGTGAGGGACTGGGGCTGGAGAGGGCGCTTTCTGACTCCGTGGTGATTGGACGGAGGATGGCAGGTAAGTTGACGCCCAAGAGGGAGTCAACAAAGGCGCGCAGACGAGGTGGCTGGTCTGATTCTGGTCCTGGCTCGGGCCCTAAATTATTAGGCCCGGGCGCAGGAGTAGAAGAGCTTGGCTTGGATTGTTTTGATTCGCGGGCTACAATGCTCCCGATTGATTCGAGGTGGTCGTCAAGCGTGGCGAGGTCGCTGGAGAGGGAATCGGCTTTGGACTGCATGCGCGTGGTGAGCTGGTCGAGGTATTGTTCTCGTCGGGCCATTTGGGTGGCGTGACGCGCGTCCTGACTCAGGTTCTGAATGTTGTCGCCGCTGGCGATCAGACTGTCTACCGCTGAGCGGATGTCGGCTCGGAGCGAGTCGAATTTCCCCGCTGCGATGCGGGTGGCTTGAAGACATCCTGTGAATTCGAGGTCTAGTTCGTGTTTGCTGCCTGGGTAGGCGTGCTTGAGGTCGGTGTGGATGTCGCGCAGCTTGGATTCGCTTTGTTTTAGTGTGTTGGCGAGAGGGTCTGTTTCGTTAAGGGTCGAATTGAGCAGGGTCTCGAGCCGCGATTGTGAGTTAGTGACGGGGTCCCGGGGGGCTGGTTGGTGGCGGGGTAGTTGTGGCTGGGGATATGGTGGGATGCAACTAGCTGGGTATAGAGTTGCTATTTTGTCCGAAGAACAAAGCGTCTGGTATTGCTGGACTATCTCGGGAAGAACGAGCATGTGAGCAATGGCGGCGATAAGAGCACAATTGATCATTAAGCGTAGGAATGACTCCAAGAATTTCCATGCGCGAGGCTGGGTTGCTTTTGGTTGGCGAGATCTTTGTGTTGGCGTTGCCGCCGTGACATCTTGTTCGGGTGGAGGAGACTGCTTTTTTTCTGCTTGCGCCGAATCCTTAGGCGATTTTTGAGGCCTGCGTCTGAGAGAGCGCTGGGAACGAGCAGTGGGCGCAACCCAAGATCCTTCTGATAGAGGCGCTTCGTATATTGACGGCATGATCAGCTCTGGTCCCGAGGCTGATGAAGTGGAGGTAGACATGGACTCAGATCCATAGTTGGGGTTCCTCCTAGCTGGTCGAGGCGTCGGGCTTGAAGGCTCAGATGGCTGACGTTCATCTTGTTGCTCATTCTCCTCATGAGGAGAAGCTACAACCCAGGACTCGCCCAGGAATGAGCTGTCCCGGGGGCGAGGACTTTTGGTAGACATCAAGATCTGTGGTCACAAGATACAGACCAGCTAATAGTCGCTTTATGCGAGCTTTAGTCTCTTTTGAGTCACTACACGGTGTTGGTGAACAGACAACGCGCACGCGAGCCGTTGGAAGCAAGGGTTAACGATATGAGATTCCATATACTGTGACAAATTTCATGCACATGTGCGAAGCATCGAATATATAGCGATACTAGCAAGGTCAGTCAATGATTTCTTCTACTGTAGCACCGTGCTATCGTAAAACAGTAGGGAATGCGACAGGACTGGGTTACTGGAGTGGCTCACGTGAAGCAAGAATATTTACATAGATAAGACAGAATAAGCGATGAACTAGTATAGCGATAACGGTGAGTGAGCGGCGGTGAACCAGGACGCCGATCCCAAAGTAAAAGAGGCAGATAGCTGAACTAGTTGACGATAGTATATCTAGATCGGTCTTTCAAACGTCCAGCCACCCGATGAAGTCGGTGGGGGACAATCACGGGAACGCGATTCCCAATCGGGAACTCGCGTTTGCAGTCACGGGCGACCGAGGAAAATCCTCCAGTTTCACCATTTGGTCGCTGCCTCTGTTCGCTAGATTCCACCATGCGTCGACTGTCGCCCTTGTTACGGCAGCCTTTGCTTTCTCGAAAACCTCCGGTCAGAGGACGGCTGACCCCTTGGCCATCAGTGAGGGCGCAATGGCTCTCATCGACGTCGTCCCGGCTCTGTTCGTGCTCTGACCCGCAGCCCGGCCAGCCTCAGACTCAGTCTTCCACCCCAGCCGATTATCGCGCCCTGGGTACCTCCCAGGACCTTTTCACAACCTCGGTCTACAGTCCCGGATCGCCTCTATTCCTCCCCAATGGCACCCATATCATCAACAAACTCATCACCTTTCTCCGCACGCAGTACCTCCAATATGGTTTTCGCGAAGTCCTGACCCCGACGATCTACAAACGTTCCCTCTGGGAAGTCTCCGGCCATTGGCAGAACTACAAAGATGACATGTACGAGGTGCGCGGTAGGGGAGCCACTGGAGATACGGACGGAGAAGCGGGAGAGGATGAATCCTACGGCCTGAAGCCGATGAACTGCCCCGGCCACTGCCTGCTATTCAAATCGCAGACGCATTCTTATCGGGAACTGCCCATCCGCTACGCCGATTTCAGCCCGCTTCATCGGAATGAGGTTTCGGGCTCGTTAAGTGGGCTTACTCGTGTGCGCCGTTTCCACCAAGATGATGGGCACATCTTCTGTCGGCCACAGCAGATCAAGGGTGAAATCGCATCGGCCCTTGGATTCGTAGACTTGGTCATGACAACATTCGGACTGGGGCCGTATCGCTTAGTCCTTTCCACAAGGCCAGAGAAGGACTTTATCGGTAGTTTGGAGTTGTGGAATAGTGCCGAAGCCCAATTGCGCGAGGCACTCGACAATACGGGCAGGGAATGGGCCATGAATGAAGGTGACGGAGCATTCTACGGCCCCAAAATCGACATTCAGCTCCAAGACAAAGCCGGCAAATACCACCAACTTTCCACCATTCAGCTCGATATGAATCTCCCTCAGCGATTTGGGCTGGAGTACCAGGTCGCTGAAGGTGAGGAGGACTACAACCCGGAGACTCCAGGCAAGGCGACCCCGGTCATGATCCATCGGGCAAACTTCGGCTCTTTGGAGCGATTTTTGGCGCTGCTCATTGAGGAATACGCTGGTCGCTGGCCGTTCTGGCTTTCTCCACGCCAGGGCATCGTCCTAACCGTGAACCAAGATGAGGCCGTCGTACAACAGGCTCACGAAGCGGCTGCCAAGATCTCTGGATTCCGCGCCCTTCAGCCAGGCCAGATGGGGACCGATGCGCCCCAGCCTATCTCCTCGGTTGACTCCACATTCTTGATCGATGTGGACAGCAGTAGTCAATCGCTGAACAAGAAGATCCAACGTGCCAAGCAGATGAAATACAACCTCATCTTCATCCTGGGTCCCAAGGATGTTGCTGCCTCTCGCATCACGGTGGACGTGACAGGTCAGCTGCAGAGCAAGCCTGAGCGTGGGGTGCAGAAGCTGCAAGATATCCTGACCCAACGGTTGGGCGAGAAGGCGTTGAAGAACCCTCGGGCCATTCCCCTTCCCGTAGATGACGTGCACGAACTGCTGGTGCAGCTGGAGAAGCAATTTGTATAATACTATAACGATGACGTGTAGATATAAACCATGTATAATAGAAACTATTCAGTTTGCACGCAAGGTGTCTGTTGGTGTTGGCGGGGAGAGGATCGCCTCTCACGCGGTCTCTGTATACTTGAGTATGGGTGCCACGTGATTGTTCGATTAAGCTTAAATTGCATGCCTGATCCATCTACCGCTGCCTGAATTTGATGGCCGCAAAGGGTTAGAGCCCCCAGTGTGCGGCCTCCTGATTGGCTGTGTTGCAGTCGCACTCGCCCGAGATATCGTCATGCCGGTTTGCGTTCCAATCTTTCCCAATTGCTCCGGCGCCGCCTCTCCCGCTACAAGATCGGCCCATCGGAGTGCCCGTCGACTGCTACAATGACCCGTGAGGGCGCGAATGATTACAGTCGAGATGACTGGAGTGATCTCCTATCAACATACTCTCTGAATGTTTTGTCGCCAAAAGAATCCATCGATAAGGCTTTACAGGACTTCTAAGCTTTTCTCAACGGCCCACCTCTGATCTGATCATCATCGCGCCGCTCTTCTGCCCCCCCACGACCCAGGGAAAGGTTCAAGTCTTTTGGCTGGAATTAAGGTGCGCCCCTAAGCTTGTGGTGGCCATCGTCGTCTCACTTTTCTGGTTCCCTTTGACCCCCACTCGCCCTCCCTCTCGTCCCTTTCCCTTTCTCCCCTCGCCCCTCTCTCCCCCTCTTCCTTTCCCTTTCGCGTGATCGTGATTTTTTCTCCCTTCTCTTCCATGGAGGCTGCTGCGACGTCTGTCCCGTCCCCCACGGCCATCCTGGATTGTCCAATTCCATGGTCGTAGAATCCAAGCAGTCGGGCATGGCCGACGTGCCTACAAAGTCCAACCTTCCCCGGAAAAGCGCCTTTTCCTGCGAGGCTTGTCGCAAGCGAAAGGTGGGTTCCTTCGTCCCTCTTACGTTCCTGACTCGGATGACTTCCGAGATTAATATGTCGAATCATCATCTTCGCTTCGCTGGCAGTGCTGACTGGGCCGGCTAGGTGAAATGCAACGGAGCCAGTCCGTCATGTTCGCGATGTGCGACACGCGGCGAGGTGTGCGTCTATAGTCTGTGAGTGTGGCTTATTTATCCTTTTGTTCACCCTCGCTTCTTGGGACTTTTGCTTTCCACCCCCACCAGCCCGACCCGCTTTGTATTGCCCTATCGGCAAAATTGTCGATCACTATTGACTCTTTATTTGCTAGAGCTCCAACCTTATCTTATACGAAGCAGCTGGAAGCTCGCGTCGCCCAGCTGGAAGATGCTCTTTCCAAGCTCCGAAGCCAACAACCCCCGGAACCCGTGTCGCGGAAGGGCGCCTCCCCTGCATCGCCCGGCGAGTCTAGCGCCAGCCCGGGTATCCGAACCCGCATCAAAGAAGAAGACGAAAATGAAGAGGAGCTCGCTAGAGACTTCGAGGGTCTCAAGGTCGAACACGATGGTCGAATATCGTTCCACGGCCCGACCAGCTTATTCCAGCTACCAAGTGGCGTCTTGAACGAGACTTCCTCGACGTCCCGGTTGGCTATGCAACTGGAGGGACGGAAGGAGCGGCTTATCAACAATGCATGGCGGGAACGGGCCTTTGAGCAGATGGCCACCATGCCCGTAAGTCTATTCCGGCCAAACCATCAGATATAGAGGATAAGGGTCAATATTGATTTTTCTCGCTGTGACAGGAACCATTTCAGTATCTCCTCGATTCACATTGGTGTTGGATACAACCACTCTTTGGCTTCGTTTATCGACCTACATTCACTCGTTAGTTGCCCTTTCGTTAGAGATGCTGGCGATGTTCTAACATCTTGTAGGTGATATGAAAGTCAACGGTCCCTATTACACCGACGCCCTGTTGAACGCCCTCCTTTCCCACTCAGTACGATGGTGCAAATTGGAGCCAAAAATCGGGCCAATCCTGGACTCATTCGAAGGAGGAGCGCAGTTCTTTCATCGCGCTGTATCGGGTCTCCATGATTCGCTCAAAGCTGGCTATGTCGGCATTCCAACAATTCAGACCTTACTTCTCCTGAGTGCGCAGGAGTTCGGGCGAGGCAACCGAAGCCAGGCGTGGTTATACAGTGGAATGGCTTTCAGGATCCTGGACGACCTTGGCATAAACATCGACAGTCGCAAGTACTCTGATAGCGCTCACCTGACCGATGAGGATATCGAGCTCAGAAACCGTCTCTTTTGGAGCTGTTACTTTTGGGATAAACTGATCTCACTGTACTTCGGCCGTGCCCCAACCATGCAACACTCCCGGGTCAGCCCTCCTCGGGTGATTTTGGATGACACAGCCGAGGTCGAGCTTTGGACGCCTCATGGTGTCGAATTTCCCGATGGCACTCACTATCCGCCCACCCAGGCTCACTCTACTTCGTGCTTCATGAAGATGTGCGGCCTGGCAGAAATCCTTAACCAAATATTAATCCATATCTATGATCCTCTCCGACAGGTTTCGGAAGTAGAATATTATAACTGCATTCAGGAACAAGCCGCTAATCTGGCTGACTGGTGGGGGGAGCTTCCCGATTATTTGAAGCTACTGCCCATGGACCTTCCTCCATATTCCCCGCCAAGTCATATTGTGACCCTGAAGTACGTACCCTTTCCTTGCCTGTTTTGTCGCCATCCCCGACCATTCTAACGCTGTTGTAGCTGTCTTTACCATACCATCAACATCCTTCTCCATCGTCCCGTCCTTTGCTCCAAATCGAACCGCGAATCTAACGACAAAAGTCATCTGATCCAATGCATGACGTCCGCAACTACGATTCTGACCCTGTTCGATCTGTACCGTCGTACTTTTGGTGACAGTCATGTCGTTCTGTCTCTCTCCTACAGTGTATACACTGCAGCATCCATTTTCTTGCTCGAAATCCAAGCTCTGAAGTATGCTGCGCCGGGGACCCTCGACAAGTTGAAGTACTGCATCTATGCATTGGAGCGAGTAAAGGGGACAAGTCCTGGTATGTTTGCCTATGACTGAAAGTAGGAATTGCAGCTAATGAGCACAACAGTGATCAACACAGCCCTAAGTCTCATCTACCAGGAGCTACAAAAGCTTCAAATCGACATCCACATTGTCCTACCAACGGCCCAAACTCAACAGCCTCAACAACAAACGGAAACCCAGACTCAACCACAACTTCACCAGCGACCTCGAACCCATCATAGCCATTCTCCCTCCCAACATCAGACACCACCCCCCTCGAGCATCTCCAGTACTTCTCAACGCGTCTCCCCTGTACAGCAGCAACCACCTCAAACCGACCATCCTATCACCTCCATGCACACTGCTGGCGTGACCTCCGCACCCTCCATGTTACCAGGCTATAATTACCAAACGCCCGTTGCCGACTTCGAGCTGTCGCAAACCAACATGCCACAGGTGACTGCTACACATCTGATAGGCGGCATGCCAAATGCCATGCTGACACTGGATAACCCTGGCGCATACGAGATCACGCCTGAAGTGTTTGAAGCGTTTTCCTATGCGGAGCCTATAACGACGAACATGGCACCTACAGTTGATTATGGGTGGGATAGACATACTTGATACCAGGAGCAAGATGTATCTGTAGACTACGAGGGAACAATGCTTCACTGAAAGTGAGTTGGCTTTATAGTGGTTCGATACACTAATCACAAATCTGTACTTGTCACCTGTATGTAGTTCTATCGAGATTTTTTGAATGTGTAGAATTACAATTGAACAGTTGAACAATCAAATAAGTGTATAATAAGCCATCTAGAGTGGCATGAATGGTAATAACGCTGCATGCTTTTATATCTTGTGTATGTCGTCCGTCCCAAACCAACCAGCCCCAGTTTCCATCCGAAAGTAATTATGCAACATCGTCCCCATCAGAAATGCAGAGATGGGAACTCCACGAGTGTAAGAATATATAGGTAAAAGGTAATGTAAAATGAGGTATCAAAAATGTCGGGTATATATCGAAGATAGAAAATGTTCTTGAGATGTAATGTGCCTGAAATGTCTACAGAGGCACACTTTTGCTGTCCACTTGCTTGGCATCAACGCTGCCCTCACCGGCAGTGGAGGCCGAAGAAGACGCGACATCCTTCGGCTTCGCACGCCAGCGAAGGTACCAAGGGCAATCGAAGAGATCGCCCATGCGCTCCATGGGAACACCTTTGGTCTCGGGCATCCAAATACCGAGGATAATGATGCCCAGAAAGCAGATGATGGCCCAGAATAGGTACGCACCCCAGACGTTAAGGGAAACGAACATGTTGGGTGTGACCCGAACGACAGCGAATTGGAAGAACCAATGCAAAGTCATGCTGAGAGCGTAGCTCACGTTACGTATGCGAGTGGGGAAGATTTCTGTACCATACAGGTACGGGATGGTGCAGAGACCGATGGACCAGCCAACGGCGTAGACGAAGACGGATGCAATGGCGGCATTGGAAGCGTTCTCGTTTTTAGCGGCGCCCGGTTGCAGACCCATGTAAACGCCCATGTAGATGTGAGCAGCCAGCTGGAGACTAAGTCCGGTCAACGCGCAGCGACGTCGGCCCAGGAGATCAATGAAAACCCAAGTGAACGCCAGTGTGAAGACGACCTTGACAATGCCATATGCACCTGAGGAGATGAGAGATTCGGCGTTTCCAGTGATGCCAGCATACTGGAAGATATTAGAGATGTAATAAGTGATACCGTTTCCTCCGGTCCACTGGGCGATGGTTTGCATGGTCATGAGGAGCCAGAACCGCTGCCGATAATTAGGATTTAACTGGGACTCCTTGAAAGCTTGCCAGTGACTGACAGACGCCAAGTCTGCTGCCTTGGCGCGCACTTGAGCTTCGATTGTACTGAATTCTTCATCAACCTCGGGATCGGAGATGTCTTTCCCACGGAACCGAGCTAGTACAGCTCGCGCCTCTTCGGGCCGCTGCTTGGACACCAGATAACGAGGGGTCTCAGGTACAATGAAGGAAGCAAAGAAGGCTAAGCCCGTAGGGATTAGTGGAATCGACTGGACCAGGCGATATTGTTCCCGAGTAGGGGCCATATGCAG